AAGTTACCATTAACTAAATACATTTAACACATAAGTTACCATTAACTAAATACACTTAACACATAAGTTACCATTAACTAAATACACTTAACACATAAGTTACCATTAACTAAATACACTTAACACATAAGTTACCATTAACTAAATACATTTAACACATAAGTTACCATCAACTAAATACATTTAACACATAAGTTACCATCAACTAAATACATTTAACACATAAGTTACCATTAACTAAATACATTTAACACACAAGTTATAAACAAGTTCAATATTGGAAATAAAATTGTGGGCGATAACTCGTAACATAGACAACATAAACAAGCACAACGGGTGATAACTCGTATAACAAAGACAACATAAACAAGCACAACGGGTGATAACTCGTAACAAAGACAACATAAACAAGCACAACGGGTGATAACTCGTAACAAAGACAACATAAACAAGCACAACGGGTGATAACTCGTAACAAAGACAACATAAACAAGCACAACGGGTGATAACTCGTAACAAAGACAACATAAACAAGCACAACGGGTGATAACTCGTAATAAAGACAACATAAACAAGCACAACGGGTGATAACTCTTAACAAATACAACATAAATAAGCACAACGGGTGATAACTCGTAATAAAGACAACATAAACAAGCACAACGGGTGATAACTCGTAATAAAGACAACATAAACAAGCACAACAAGCGATAACTCGTAACAAAGACAACATAAACAAGCACAACGGGTGATAACTCGTAACAAAGACAACACAAACAAGCACAACGAGTGATAACTCGTAAGAAAGACAACATAAACAAGCACAACAAGCGATAACTCGTGTAACAAAGACAACACAAACAAGTACAACCCACTCACAAAAAAGTTATTCCTTTCTCCAAAGATAATTTGTTTAGAAAATTTCTGCAAAGCTATACAAGGACTATCTGCTCTTTTAACTGATATTTATTAAACAGCGCCTAGTGCCAACTTTTGGGCTTCTCTTATCGAATACTGGTATTTAACAGTAACTCTTCTAACGCACCAATGGTTTCAAAGTATATAGTGCGATTCTGCGGCAACGAGACGCAAACCATGAGCCCTCAGATTCACAGTCCGTCACGCTAATCTAGTCAGTAGCTCAAATTTATGGACAACTGTATGCGAGTCCCAAGGTTTTCTAACACTGCTGTTTAAACAACTTCAGGTTAAAAATACCAGTATATTAAACGTCATAAAATGAACAGTGTTCAAAACTCGAACTGTGATATATACGTTCGTTCGCTTTCATTAGTCATTGTTCTAACATTCAATTAGACTTGTTTTATTTTTTACTACATTTTTAAATATTTTTTTTTACAGTTATGTGCAGCGAAAGGGGTAAATCAACTTCAAATCACTTGATGTTCCCGAATATTTGAATGCTCGTGGCAGTGTGTACACGAGTTTTGATTGGATGAGGTAAACAAAGACACCGCAATCCCTAATACAAATAGCTAAATTTTTAGTATTGCTTCCTAAACTTGTAAAGAAAAACCAAACTCCGCGTTAGAAGAGTTTACCGTATGATGTAAAACTTACTAGTTACCATAATAAAATGATTCAAATTCATGATTTCAAAACAGTTTATTTAGTATCTGTACCTACAACAGAGATCAATGTGACTCAACCAGTCTCGGGCTTTTTCCAGAAGTAACAATTTACAAATATTAAAACATGTTAATTTTTAAAATTTCCCAATCTGTCCGAAAGACACAAACAAACCCACTAAATATTCGTCATGTTTATTCTCAAGCTATTTAAATAAACAGATCATTAGTCAAGCGTCTACCAACTTCATCGTAAAGGCGTTTTAGTGAAAAGCAAGACATATACAGCAAAGTACAAAACAAGTTATTCTATGTTCTGTAAAAGAATTACAAAAAACAAAACTAAAACTACCAAAAAAAAACAAGGAGGCTAAGCTTCCAAAAGTTGCCACCATGGGTAGCATGAAGGTAAAACAAATGCAATAAAATAAGATCCAACGTGTTAACAGTAAGGGCCAAAGTCAATCTTTAAAGAAAAATCAGACTTTGGAACATTAATAACTTAGAAAGATTAGACTAAGTTGTTCTCTACCCAGCAATGAGATGAAAAAAAAATATTCCGTTTTTGAAAAATTTACTTTTTATAAGAAAATGTTCATCATATATTAAAGCAGTTTTTGTACAAAAAATAAATAAGAAATTATCTTAAGCCTTTATTTGGAACTAAGTAATAAATCACAATTTTTTTTGATAAACATCTAAAAATACAAAGTTACCAATAAATTTGACTTTACAAAAGTTTTCGTGTTTATTCATCTTGCAATTGGATTATGCTGCAATCAAATAATGTACAGAGGGTTGAATACGTTATATTAAAACTATTTTTTAAAACACAAATCAAGTGCCAACCACAACCAATATAAAGTTGTGGAATGCAGAATGTGATGCTTTAGGAGAGAGTGAGTAATATCCATTTCTGACATAAAATATTTATGCACTCAGATCATAAAGAGGTGTTCCAGCTGCATATTTAAAATTTCCAAGATGGTAATATCCCAGATACTTAATGGCATTGAAAAAAAAAAAGCAATATGGATCAACCTGGGATACCATACTCATCAAGTAAGGACCTGCAACAAGTCATACTCCAATCATGGTAAGCAAAATGCAGCATCTTGAGATAAATGAAAATCCAGGAATACAAAAGTCAGTGGCAAACGTCGTCCACGTGCTCCAGGTAACAGTACGGAAATGTGATTAACAGGGTATGGATCATATGGTTCACCAAGATAAGGTATCCAGTCATACCTACCTTTTAACTCATGCATACCTCCAGCAGCAATAGAATGAAATAGGCATTGGGCATTCATGCTATTCCATATGAATACATACTGGTGAAGTCACCAGACGCAGTGCCCGTGGAGTTCTGTGCCAATGGACTATTGAAACAGGTGCTGGAATGCCATCATTCTTGTATACTAGATGAATTATGGAAAACACACCACAAAGTTTGCTATGCTTTGAACACGATAGCCTTACAAGTGAGCCTTTTTCAATAGAAACTGTGTTGTGGGGTTATTTTCACGGTGCATCGTCAGATAGAGTACAAGTGGACATGGTGATGCTCTTAAATCATTTTAATACAACATATTCAACCTCAGTATTTTTAAGACAAAAACAAATTCATTATTTAAGAAATATCTTTTGCTGGCTACTAAATTTCTTTAATTTGTTGCATTGAAAAATGCAAAAAATACTTTCATGTAAAGCTAATCAGCTTCTGAATATAACTTTTTTTTTTAAGATACACAACAGGTATTTAAAGAAATGTCAGCAAAAAACAAACCTTAAACACATCTCCAGAACAATAATAATGTACCTCAGTTCTACAGAACTAAAATTTGTTCTGTTATTACTTGATTGATATGTTAACCATCCACACGAGTAAAGAATGGTAATAAAGATAACATTTACAATTAACCGTATATACTAAAAGCATTATGATCATTTATTTATTTTAATTAACAAATATCAGAAATTAGAAAAAAAACGTAGTCAATTATTTTAAATAGGCTATTAACAGACATTTTAAAACCATAAAAATTTATATAAAATCGCACTTTTTAAACCTTCCCTGAAAGGGTTGATTTGGCACCAACCTAGCTAGATTTAGCTAGAATATTAAAGACAAACCTAGTTTTTAACTATGTATTCATTAAAATGTTATTTTACATAAACGCGTAACAAGTTAACAACAAACATTCCAATGACGTCCTTTATCTATACAAATAATTACTGGTATTTCTTGTAAAATGTGAGCAAACAATTTTTCATGTTTCATTGGTTTAACTCATAGTTTCAAAGCAAAAATGATGACTGATGTTTTTGAGAAACAATTTTTTATGCATCTTCAGCATAACTCTTCAAAGACAGTAAAGATGTACATAATCACCGATAAAAAGAAAGATGTCACTTATCCTGTTTTTTTTTTAAAGTACAAACCAGTTTGAATTGGATAGTACAGTTTTATTACAAACAGTACAAATTTTACAATCAAACATTGGGCCATTTTCAACTAAAAGCCCGAAAATAAATTGTGACTTTTTTTTTAAAATAAAAGGATTTTATCCACTTCAAACCCTTAATTTTTTTATGGCAGATCTTCTCCAGTGTTATGTGTACACTTTTTTCATTTGAAGAATCGTTTCCCAAATTACAGACAAGTCCCTATCAAGCTTGTTTTTAGTTGATTTTTTCAAACTATTGCAACAAATTAATCTTTTAAAAATACCTAAACATATGAACAAGTTAATAAGAACAAAAAGTTACACATACTGTACTCCTCAACCTTAGTCAAATCTCTTGTTGGTTAACAAAAAAACAAACAATAACCTTCTATTAAACATTCACTTTTGTTTCTGATAATTTACATGTAACAATCTCTGCCAACTTCCTAGTCTGAAATGAAAAACATTTATGTAACAACAGCATTTCTAGATGATTTCAACTTGTCTATTCTTTTCTGTAAATGAGCATTAGCTGTTTCAAGCTCTTCAATTCTTGCCTGAGCATCTCGAACCTGCACGACAAAAAAAAAAGCAATTCTGATTAGACATGCCTGAGATCATGCATGTAAGGATTATTTCTGATTAGACAAGCCTGAGATCATGCATGTAAGGATTATTTCTGATTAGACAAGCCTGAGATCATGCATGTAAGGATTATTTCTGATTAAACAAACCTGACATCATACACTTAAGGATTATTTCTGATTAAACAAACCTGACATCATACATGTAAGGATTATTTCTGATTAAACAAACCTGACATCATACACTTAAGGATTATTTCTGATTAAACAAACCTGACAACATCCATGAACAGATTATTTCATTCATTCATACAAGGTGAGAAATCTTATAATGTGGCTCGAAAAAGTTTATGTTTTCATGGTTTAACACTGACATACAGGTTTTTATGGAAAGAAAATATATCTCGCATGTGCTGGTTAAACTTATACAGGCAGCAGAAACAATTTGAATTTTAATAAATATGACATCTGTATTGGTATAAACTACCGGACATTAAAATGTTAACGTACGTATACATATAGACACACACACACATCTGTTATATGCTTTAAAGCAAGTACTTTAAGTACTTGTAATATATTTATTTATTATACAAATTGCATGCCATTAACAGCCATACACATATCAATTCTTGGTATACTGTGCCATCGAGGTATTTTCTTTCCTGAAATATGTACAACTGACATTAGAAATGTGTTTGTTTAAATTTAAGAACATAATGTCTGTTTTCCCTATGGGTCCAAATTTGGGACCTGTACACACTATTCTATATATCTGCAAGTCTACAACTTCAATTCATTAGCTGTAGACATAACTTTTAGCTTTTGATGTGATTTTCTATTAAATGTTAATGTGATTTACTACAAACTTTTGATGTGACTTACTATTAAATGTTAATGTGATTTACTACAAACTTTTGATGTGACTTACTATTAAATGTTAATGTGATTTACTACAAACTTTTGATGTGACTCACTATTAAATGTTAATGTGATTTACTACAAACTTTTGATGTGACTTACTATTAAATGTTAATGCGATTTACTACAAACTTTTGATGTGACTTACTATTAAATGTTAATGTGATTTACTACAAACTTTTGATGTGACTTACTATTAAATGTTAATGTGATTCACTACTAAACATAGATGTGATTCACTATTAAACATAAACCTAATTCTCTATTTGAAAAGTTTAATGTAGCAAATAAATCAGAAACAACTTAAGACACAGAGAAGAGAATATAAGAAGTTCCAATTTCACAACAGGTAACATATAATATTTACAGATACATGAAACTAAGCACAATTTTAATGGAATACAAGTTACTAAAAAACCCTTAGTGCTTCAGATGAAACATGTTACACCATAAATAAAATACACAGAGTCTCACCTCTCTCTGTAACTTTCTCTTCTCAGCCTTTAGTTCATCTTCTACTTTTTCTCCATTCTCCGCAGCAGACTTGTACCTTGTGACTTGACTTTCCAATCGAGATAACTGAATAAAACATGACGTTATACCAAATGTGCCTTTAAAAAATGTCTACTACTTTAGGTCTTAACTGTATTGCATTTTCAAAAACTTTTTTTTTCCCAGTAGTAGCCATTCTTTTTTTTTTACCCAAAAGCCAAAAAAAAAAGAAAAAGAAACTTCACATCAAGTAGAATATGACTTCATTTCTACACTTTAAATGCAACAAAAACTAAAATACACATCACGATTTATCATTTCGTTCTATAAAAGTACTACTAAAGTAGCACGTAGTTAACAAGCATACATAAATATATCAAAACAAAACATTTCAAACATGTTAAAACACAGAACTTACACTTTTAACACAGAAAGTGGCAAGGAAATGAACTTAAGTTTATCGTTACATAAAGTTTGAAGTACTAGGTAATTTCATCTTAGTCAGATTTCATTTTCAACATAAGTTTTTTTACATACAGGAAGACAAATCAATTTAATCACTGTCTACAGTGTTCTTGTCTAACTTACGAATGTTTGTAATAAACCATTCTTGAATTCTTGCACACGACAGTTTTTTTAAATTAAAAGAAAATCTAAAAGTGCTATCGAATTAAAGTTAGGCTAACTATTTCATTCCTTTAGTTGCCTGGGATGAAGCAAGACTTAAATAAATTATATAACAATACTAAATTCAGTGTTCATCATCTTCAACGATGAGTGACACCTCTGGTATAATATAAGTCATTCATCTTCAACGATGAGTGACACTTCTGGTATAATACAAGTCATTCATCTTCAACGATGAGTGACACTTCTGGTATAATATAAGTCATTCATCTTCAACGATGAGTGACACCTCTGGTATAATACAAGTCATTCATCTTCAACGATGAGTGACACCTCTGCTATAATACAAGTCATTCATCTTCAACGATGAGTGACACCTCTGCTATAATACAAGTCATTCATCTTCAACAATGAGTGACACCTCTGCTATAATACAAGTCATTCATCTTCAACGATAAGTGACACCTCTGCTATAATACAAGTCATTCAAGATAGTTGGAATGAAATCTATACTGTAAAGCAAAGTGCTTAATCTGGTCAGAATGACACCTACAAAACAAAAAGCACAATTTACTCCGAGTTAAAGTTGTGATAGAAAACTAAATACTCAAATTAGATCTAATAATCTTCATTCTTTAAACTGTACTCACACTACTTTGTAATGTTGAATTCTCCTGCTCTAACTTCTTCAGCTTGAACTTATAGTCACTGACTTGCTTGTTCGTCTCTCCTGTTTGAAAACAACAAGTTTACATGAAGTTAAAAAAAAAGAAAGAAACCTTTTCTAACTCTTCCATTCAATTGCTAGTTACCCCATTTATTTGCAGCATTTGTGTAAATTTGCAGCATTTGTGTAAATCTATGTACCACCCCATGCATAAAGATTAATGAATTATTTTAAGGTTCATCATGCAAAAGGCTTGCATCATATGATGTGAACAACAGTTGAAAGGTTAAACTTCCTAAAATCCTGGAACATTTATTTGTATATAGCTTCAGATGATTAGAAAATATGTAACAAACGCGGAGTTCCTGGATCAGTCACTTGTACGCGCACATTCTTTAGAGAAATTCAAATGACTTACACATCTATCGTTTAGTTGCTATGACAATAATTAAGTTTTAACTTACAATAAACAAAGTAACCATAACAAAAGATTAATCATGAGACACACAAATATTCAACTTTTATTTTATTCTTGCTCATTTCCATATCAACAAATTAAAAATTATAATTTCTACATTCAACACCTTAGATTAAATACATTTTGTTTTAGTACAAAATATTATGAACATATGGTGAATTCTTGCATTCAATATAAGAAAATATGTAAATCTAAAATTAAAACAATGATAACATCTATCTTCAATTTGTTTAGTGAAATAAAATAACCATAATATCATTTTAAATTTGTGATTATAAATAATAAAATTTAATCAAATCATACAAAAAAAAAAGCATTTCATCTGCTCCGAGTTTGCTATATTCCATTGTTACGTTTCATAGCACTAAAGCCATAAAAAATTGCTGAAGTTTGTTCAAAACAAAGATTGTAAGAAACAGGTGCTGAATAGTCTATTTCCTGTAAAGAAATATGCACATGCGTGAATGCGAAATTTCAAAATCTGTAATGTCCTTGTACATTTTGTTGACGGCAATGTACGTGTAACAAAATTTATAAGCCATTTAATATTTTATTAGTTTTTCTTTCTTTTGATATGGATAAGTTATACAAAAAAGTCAATTTTTTTAATAAAAAAAAATCGAATAAAAACATTAGTTACAGAAATAGTAACCAGAGCACAGCACTGGCTCTTATGTACTGTCTTGGGTAGGGGATAAATTATATTTTGATCACAGGAAGGAATAAACAAGTTTACTTTTTACACTTCACTTTCAATATGTAAAAAAATATTTGAATCTCTTTAAAACTACATGATAAATAACTGTAACTAAAACAACAAAGATACGTACGTTGAATATCTAACAGTTTCATTTCAGGACCATTAGACTGCGGGCCATGTACTAATGTAATCTGTTCCATTCTAGCTGTCTTTTGCCTTTCTTCTTCCAAATCTAGTTTTATCCTATTAATCTGAATAAGATATTTGAGAACAGTATCTTACTTATAGCATGTAGAGAAATGTAACATGTAACTCTTATGTTTGAAATAGTATCCTATTTATAGCATCAAGAAAAATGTAACATGTAACACTTATGTTTGAAATAGTATCTTATTTATAGCATCAAGAAAAATGGAACATGTAACACTTATGTTTGAAATAGTATCTTATTTATAGCATGAAGAGAAATGTAACATGTAACACTTATGTTTGAAATAGTATCTTATTTATAGCATCAAGAAAATGTAACATGTAACACTTATGTTTGAAATAGTATCTTATTTATAGCATGAAGAGAAATGTAACATGTAACTCTTACGTTTGAAATAGTATCCTATTTATAGCATGAAGAGAAATGTAACATGTAACTCTTACGTTTGAAATAGTATCCTATTTATAGCATCAAGAAAAATGTAACATGTAACACTTATGTTTGAAAAATGTTAATAGTTCAAAGTGCTGAAGTTTATTGCTCAATGAAAAATCATCAGGTCAACATGTCACATTAATTTCTAACAGATCTTGTGAAATGACTTGCGCTTCATAAAAGGTTTTTAATACAAGTTCACAGAAGTCATGAGAAATTTGAAAATTGTGAAAAAATTTCAATGTATTTAGGTTTTTTCTTTGAAGACTGCTATTATCTTTCTCATTTATATATTTACAATTATTTTTTTATATATATATACTAAGTAGTTTGAGAAAAATAAAAAAATAATTATATGTTTATAATTGAATAAATGAAAAGATAAACAAATGTTTATCTGTTTAACAGCTATATTACGGCCAAACAGAAAATTTAAATACCCTCACACTTACTTCATCTAGAAGTTCCTGTTTCTTCTCCGCTAATCTTTTCAACTTTACATCTATAAGAAATTGTAAACGTAATACTAAGAGAAATTTAAACATTATAACATTTTTCCACAAGAAAACCTAACAAGACTTCATTGTTTTTAAATCATGTAAAATTCATAAATTAGTAAAAAAAAAATACTTTAATTATTCACAAAATAGCTCCTTATATTTCTGAGGTTATAAAAAAAATGTCTGCATCACTTGTCGTTTATTTACTATACACATTGTTGTTAACTTATTTTATAGCACAAGCTATCAATCATGTTAAATGCAGTAACTACACAGGTTATTTATTATGTCACAGTAAATACTGTCATTAACTCAGATTACCATATTTCACGAATTTACGATCTCAGGTTACTTAATGTGTAGTTATTGTTTCAGGTTAAATATTAGTATATCACACGCAGTCATTATTTTGGAGTACCATATTTCATAAGGTTACTATTTCACATTATTTAACACTTTAAACATAGTTGTTATTTCTAATATTATACTTTGCCAAATCTAGCCATTAAAGAATGATGTATAATGTGCTGCATACATATGATTATCGTTGGTGTATCCTGCAATGAGAATATTTGAAAATATAGGCAATGCAATGTGAAAAACTGTCATGGAAACTAATCTACGTATGGGACACGTACCACTAAATTCCTCAAATTTAAAAACAAAAAAAAAACATTATGAAAATAACTAAAACTTTTCCAAAATTATTTGGAAGATCTAATTTGCTTGGCCTAACCAATATTTATGTATCTGATCTGCACGTCCTTTCACCTTATAGTTTTGCTGCACTAAATCAACCATCCTTAATCTGAATGACAAAAAGAACTAAAAACGGTCCACTTTTACTCTTAAATGAAGCTGTAGTAAAAATGTTAGACTGACAGCTCACGTGACTTTTACGTAGGCATGTGCAAAAATGTTCGTTAAATTTGAGCAGTTTTTGTTGAGTAACATTACACATGTGGCTTAAATTTACACCAAATGAGACTCCTAATTGTAGGTTATAAAGATCTCTATCAGTGTACCAAATCTGAAAAAAATTCATAAAAGTTAAGTATGTTTTTCTGTCAAATAAAGTTTCCGTACTTTTGGTGTGAAGAAGAAAAACTTGAAACTTGGTATGTGAAGTAAGAATCCAGTATAGCACATCCACTGAAAATATGTGATAGTTGAGACTACTACAATTCAAGCTGCAGAAGGTGGAAAATCGCTAAACTATCACTCCTGTTAATAACACACTGTATGTTCAGCAGGTTGTTTTTTTTTTGGCCACAAGACACACTACCGTGTTGCTAGATTATAGGGTGTAATATAAATGAGAACACCACTTATGAAACCATGCCACACGTATGAAGTCCCATATTCACAGCTTACGAATGGAATGTGAACACTGGTTATTTGATATTATTGCACCAGTAATATAAACTTTCCATTGTTATGAAGTAGTATATTACATACTGTAAGTTACTAAATATTTAACATAATAGACTAGAAATTTATAAATAGGAACTTCACTAACAAGATAAAAAACTAAAAATGTAATGGAAATCTTGTGAAAATTTCTGTACTAAATGATTCTCAGTGGAGTTTTGAGACTTTTTCAAATGTTGAATAGTAGCAATTTAAACAAAAATCGAAAATGATCGTTAAAAATGTTTAAAGAATTGCTACAATTATTGTTATTCCAAAAGATATTTACATTAGTTTCAGGTAACAATTACATCTTAATTTAATCTTTTAACCCAAGATGTTTATCTAACATAACTCACCTAGAGATCCTTCTCCTGCTTCTTCTAAAATCTGGGCAGCTTCTTGGGAGACCAAGGCAGCTCTGCCTGGCAACACTGGAGTTGAACTGTCTGGTGTATTCCTGGAACTGTTATCGTCGACATCTCCGTTAATGAGAGCTTCCTCCCCTCCCACTAAGACCAGTCCATAATCCTGTAAAAAAAGCGCAGCACGTGATTCAAAAGGACAGAAGGACAAACTGCACTTAAAAGGGTTTTTTTTTTTGAAAATCAAGTTGCTACGGCTGATGTGATACTGCCAATTCCACCGAGATCAATTACCATTCCAGTTCTTTATGTCTAGCGAGTTGTTCTAGTGTGAATGGGGCAACAGATGTTTAATGTGATGGAACTCTTTATTGTGAGGCCATTTTAGAGAAACAAAAATATACATCATAATTTTCTCACCACCGTCTACGGTTCCGGTACACAAATGCAAGTTTGAAATCAAACTTTAATATAAAGAATTATAAATATTAATTTTAAATCTATACCTCACTATCTAATTGGTAGTACACTTAATACAACTTGTCACTTCTTTATACTTAAATCATTAAAGCTGGGAGTTCTTTTAATTACAGATTATACAATCCATAACAACCAGATTAAATAGTTTATAGTACTCTTCTATCAAGCAAAATTAATTATAAGTGACTATACCAAACCCTTGATAAAAAGCTTTCATTCATCAGTTACAAGATCGTTCACGAGCAATTCTGGAAAATATTTACAGATTCTATGAATCGATAACATGAACAAAATTAAATACATGGAAATAAGTTTTGTGTTTACTAGTTATCAAAAGAAATAAAAAGTTACAAAAACTTGGTAATATAAATACTTGTACCCACAGCTCGTAATATTTCCATTAGGTCAAAACTACTGAATGTATATAGTTCACAGAAAAAAAAAAAATTCTAAAAATTCCAAGGTTGGTAAAAAAAAAAACCCATAAAACCTGAAACTTAAAATGTATTCGCTCCTTGGTGTATTTAAAACCTAACCATTTTTACAGATGTCACGGTTTAATTAGAACTTTCAACAACATAGAAATGAACAACCCAAAATGACATAATACTAGTTTCAAGAAAATAATCTTTCTTTTTTACACCCAAAGTATCTCATCTTCCCAAAATTTCCTTTTCCAAAAATGTGACACTGCACACCAATATGTTATGTAGAAGAGGTACCAGGGAAGGTGTTATATCAGCATGATGGCTGATACCTGCTGTTCATTGAAACGAGATGCTCCAGACACAATACATAAAAGAAAGACCACAACACATATTTTTGAGACTAACAGATGTAGATTTCACAAATAAAAATCAGGATGAATGAGGATGCATATTCGTTTGACATCAATGTTCTTCCCTTCTATTCAGTTTATTTGTATTTTTGTTAACAAACATAATAATAAAAAATTTTCATTGTGGTAAACGAAATAATAATTTGATTTACGTTATGAGCCTTAAACAACGACTGCACAAGTTGCTGAAGAACTGAATTCTAGGTTCTATACTCTCTGCAACACTATGTACTCATACTCAGAGCACAGAGACATTTTAACTATGTCATTCTGTTTAGAACTATTTCAACATCTGTAATGTAACTGCGTACACAAATAATTCTTAATGAGTTCTATTAAGAATATTTTTGTATTAAGAAGAGTTAAATTTCCATATCTTCTGGCTATAAGCTGTCGGTGACAGATTTGCTTTAAATATTAATAAGATGAATGAATTCATATCATCTAAGTTTACAGTTTCTGTTAAACAGGTAAAATAATAATCTTGTGATTTGTAATTTTTTTTCCTATGTGCATTCAAGCATCCTAATTGATTTTATATATCAAAATGGTTATCATTTCAAAATTTTCTTTCAATTTTCTTCTCTGTTAAAAACTCTTACCTCTATTAATTCATCCCTTTGTCTTAAGCCTTCTTTTAAAAAATCAATTTCTTCTTTCATTTCTTTAAAGTATCTGTTCAGTTGATCATATGCCTGAAAAAAAAATCAACATAAAGGTACACCACAACAAGTAACATCAAATATATTATATGTCATAAGAACACTGAAAAACTGAAGATCAATATATATACATACAAGGTTCAAAACATGTGAACATAAAAAGATAAAAACCCTATAACTCAAGCATTTTCGAAAGGCAGACCTTTCAAAAGCTCTCGGGTTATAGGGTTTTTATCATTTTATGTTCACACTTATTGAACCTTATATGTTTTTCTGAGATCACAAATATATAAACAAGCATTAGAAACAATGAGTAATCAAAACTAAATAATCAATTTATCAGTATTAATTAGTTTTTCTTTTTAATTTTACACAAAGCTACACAAGAGCTATCTGCGCTAGCCATCCCTAATTTAGCAGTGTAATACTAGAGAGAAGGCAGCTAGTCATTACTACCCACCGCCAACTCTTGGGCTATTCTTTACCAATGAATAGTGGGATTGACCATCACTTTATAATGCTCCCATGGCTGAAAGGGTGAGTATGTTTGGTGGGATGAGGATTTGAACCCGCGACTCGCATATTGCGAGTCGAGCTCCCTAACCACCTGGCTATGCAAGGCCGTATTAATTAGTATGATACATTATTACAAAAAATACAAAAGAAAATTAAATGAATAAATTGGACAGTGCACTAGTATCTTAAACTTACTTTTAAAAAAAAACACTACATCTTGTTTTTAAACTACCCTAAGAAAACCAATATATTATTGTGAAATAATGTTCAATATGTCCTGTATTATTCCTCAAAATTCAGCCAGGTTGTCTGGTTGCCATTTCACATTTTTTCCTTTCCATATCAAAACTTCACTGGCCAAGTGTTTCATCAGCCTCCAGGTATTGTTTCACCACATTTGTTGCATACTTGGGATCTTTGTTTTAAAGAGGAATCCCTGCCCAACATTTCTTGTTATTGATGGAATTACATGATACACAAGAATTTTATTGTACCTGTCAGCAGTCAGGATGCCATCAATTTCATATAGATCTCCAACATCTCTGGCTGAGATACAGCTCACACTTCCAACATGCCTCAGTAGATGTTGTATGCTGGCCCTGATATTATTCTCCTCTATACAACTGAACAAGCTATCAGTGATTGTTGCTAAGCAATTTAAATTGGAGATAACATCCACAACAGTACTTACAGCTAAGTCATTGAAACAATCTCTATTGAATCCTCATGTTTCACATACAGTCTTTAATTTCCATACAGTTTTTCTCCAAACATGTAATTTTCCCTCAATTGTTCACATGGAGTAACCTTCACCTGTCAAAACTTTGATTAATGCATGTTTGTTTTGTGGCATTTCTTTCCTGTGAATCAATAGTGTATTCTCCATACTACTGCTGGGAATAATTAACTGCCTGTACATTTATAAACATTATGTTGGTGTACCACTACCTGACTAGTTGGATGACAGCCAATCACAATGCAGACTTTCAACACTTGCCTATACTCTGATGTAGTTCATTTTTCACACAATAGAAGAAGCAATCTCATAAGAGTTTCATCTTATAAACATTTTATTCACTGTTTCCACAATTATTTCCAATACTGCATAAACGCACACATACTTACAATGTATATTACTGTACAAGAAGCCTGACAACTTATTAGATGTTGTAAATGTTAAAAGATGCACAACATTTGGTTCTTATTATTTTACAGATATGAAATATTGATAGCAGCAGTCACTACCATTAAAACATTCCACTGTATTTAGAGAAGAGGAACTATTAAGACTATCAATCCATAAAATGACTGTTTTTATAATACATTTATAAGGCATTTCTTGTACTTCTGATGAATACGTCAGTGAATGGACAAAGGTTTATTTAACAATATGTAAACACCCGCTACGTAACACTTGTAATGAATAAAAATATGCGGTTTTAGCTTCAAATGTAACACAAACAAAGAAATCATTTTTACATCTCTCTTACTCTTAGAAGCAAATTTTCACAAACTTACTAGAAATTATAATGAATCAGATTATTCTAACAACAAGAAAGAAATTCCACAAAATATACACCTTTATCCAATTTAAAATTTTTTCTTAAAAGTCAAGGTACAGCACATCCAAAAAAATCTGGAACCGTAGGTACTTCAATGAATTTTACAGAATGTGTTTCATTATAAACTACTTCTGCTTTCGATCTACAGAATGTCCGAAAAAACTGGAACAATAGGTACTTCAATGAATTTTACAGAATGTGTTCCATATGTTGTCCTTGTAATTCAAAACAAGTTTAGATTAACTCAAACTTCTCAAACCTTGGACACTGCCATAACAAGTCACATATCTGGAATTAAGAAAAGCCAAATCACTTATCGTTCCAGACATATTAGACACCCTGCATTTATGAAAACACTTATAGAAACATCATTTTTACTAAAATTATTTTTCTATCAAGTGTAATGAGTCCCAAAGCCTTACCCTCGACTTCTCTTTATAATCTTTTTGTGCCTGAATATAATTTTCTTCCATTTCTTCTATTTCATCTTTCAAAGTGTCAACATTGTAAGTGAGGGATGATTTCTCATTGTCAAGTTGTGCATTACTGACCATGGCTTTTTTGAACTTCTCTTCTATATCTTGTAACTGATGCTGAAACAGAAACCATTTTCTTAATTTCAAAGAAAACAAAAGCCAATTACTGATGTCTTTTGTGTTTATTTAAGAACTTATAAAAAAAATAGACAAGAATATAAAAATATTCATCTTATTTATTCTAACTTGAAACTGGAGTTGATTTAGGATCCCAAAAATAGTTCTGAACTCAACAATATTAAAACCACAAAGTCTTATCTCAAGAAACTAACAGATTGGTTTGGTTTGAATTTCATGCAAAGCTAAACTAGGGCTCTCTAGACTAGCCATCCCTAATTTAGCAGAGATGGACTAAGAAAGGAGGCAGCTAGTCATCACCACCAACTCTTGGGCTACTCTTTTACCAACGAATAGTTTGATTGACCATCACATTATAACACCCCTATGGTAGAAAGGGTGAGTATATTTGGTGTGACAGGGATTCTAACCCACCGATTGCAAGTCGAGTGCCCTAACAACCAGGCAATGCCAGCCTGAAACAAAAAGATTAATAATGTATTACACAAACTAAATAATGCTGTTATGAATTCAACTAGCTCTAAAACTAGTTATAATACTGTTTCATAATTTGATTTTACTCTAATATTTTATTAATTTATGGCTTTTTTTTTGCAACTTGCGAGTTTGACCTTTAATATTCTGGTCTATTAATATTGTTGATTTATAAATATGCTCTTTACTTGATTAGGAATTATTATCCTATTAATGGTTCTTCCATAAAACACATCTTACATTTGTACACATTCAGTTCCTATAAATATGAAGATTTATCTTTGAGACTTTGTAAAGTTTGAGATATCACAAAATATTATGTTACACATATTACAATATATCCTGGACAGTGTGCAAAATATTATAATGTAAGTACAGATTTCTTCACAAGATAAACAACAATTATTCCACTTGTTTCAAAAACTACCAGTAAAAACCTTCTAAATTTAAAAAAATTACTACAAATTTCTGAAATTATGTGTGTCATGAATTTTTTGTTGTTAATGTAGTGTTCAAATACTAATCCAACAAAAGTATGAGAAAATTAGTAGAACTGATCTAAATTGTAAATCTTAATCTCATCTATCCAAACTTAATATTAAAAAAATAAAAAATGTATAGATCATAATGTATATAACTAGTTAAATATCTTAACTGTCCTTTTGGCAGAAAACAAAAATGCTTACAATAAAACTTTAGAAAGAGATTAAGGTAATAAACAGCTGAGATTTCCTTAAGGTTTAATAAAATTAATAAAGAAATACACACATAAAAGGTTTCCTAACTTTATATATTGCATCAAACTTCAGTTGGTTGATAATAAAATTGGTACAGTATCACAAATGTATTCATCATTTATCATTATGTTAACTAAATAAGACTGTTAAGGGCTACTTTTAGTATTACAAATCTATTCATCATTTATCATTATGTTAACTAGATAAGACTATTTAGGCTACTTTCAGTATCATAAATCTATTCATCATTTATCATTATGTTAACCAGATAAGACTATTTAGGCTACTTTCAGTATCATAAATCTATTCATCATTTATCATTATGTTAACTAGATAAGACTATTCAAGCTACTTTCAGTATCATAAATCTATTTATCATTATGTTAACTAGATAAGACTATTTAGGCTACTTTCAGTATCATAAATCTATTTATCATTATGTTAACTAGATAAGACTATTTAGACTACTTTCAGTATCACAAAGCTATTCATCATTTATCATTATGTTAACTAGATAAGACTATTTAGGCTACTTTCAGTATCATAAATCTATTCATCATTTATCATTATGTTAACCAGATAAGACTATTTAGACTACTTTCAGTATCACAAATCTATTCATCATTTATCATTATGTTAACTAGATAAGACTATTTAGGCTAGTTTCAGTATCATAAATCTATTCATCATTTATCATTATGTTAACTAGATAAGACTATTTAGGCTACTTTCAGTATCATAAATCTATTTATCATTATGTTAACTAGATAAGACTATTTAGACTACTTTCAGTATCACAAATCTATTCATCATTATGTTAACTAGATAAGACTATTTAGACTACTTTCAGTATCACAAATCTATTCATCATTTATCATTATGTTAACTAGATAAGACTATTTAGGCTACTTTCAGTATCATAAATCTATTCATCATTTATCATTATGTTAACTAGGTGGTCTCCATCCAGTTTACTCTCACCTTCAACTCTCTAGTATTCTCGTCACTTAAGTCTTCACTGCTGCGTCTTGAGCTTGTGTAAGATGAAGTATTCGAAACAAAAGAAGAACTTCCCTATAAACCAGAAAGTTGTTTACATGTTATGTACTCCACCTAATTTTATTGATTATAATATAAATAGTCACAGGTAAAAAAAGTGGTATCCTTGTATACTTGATTGTTTGCTTTTGGACATTCATTCAAAAACTAATAGAGCTATCTACACTATAGCCATTTCAAATTTTGAACTTAAAGGGAAGGGAGCTAGTCAACAGCACCCACCACCAACTCTTGGACTACTCTGGTCTGACCAAATAGTAAGATTTTATATTCACTCTTATAACACACCTACAGCCCTAAAATGCAGAGAACCTTTTTGTGTGTGTGGTAATTAAATATGAACAAAGGATCTACAGTCCAGCACACTAATCACTAGGTCACACACAGCCCGATATCCTTGTATATGGTGAAGAGAATGCACCACACTTAATTTTATCTATAAATTATAAAATTAATAATCAAACACAACTTACATAGCCACATTTAAGCAGCTGTTCAGAAGTTAAGAAATTTGATGTCTAAGTTACATAATTTTCAAGAATGTTTTTACACTATCCACTCAAACTAAGCATCAGTAACTCAAATATCATTCAATTATCAATGCCATAAAACTCTTTCAATAGCTTGTGTTTCCACAATCCAATCAAACTAAGCATCAGTAACTCAAATATCATTCATCTTTCATTACTATGATACTCTTTCAATAACTTGTTTCCACAATCAAATCAATCTAAGTCGCAATAACTCAAACACCATTCAACTTTCAATACTATAAAATTCCCCCTTTTAGAGCTTCCAAATAACACATGGAACAGATATATATATATTGACGAAGGTGTTTATATATATATATATATATGTTGACCAAGGT